TAATCAAATCTTTGTGAATGAGAGGGAAAGCTTTCCCACCTCCTTTGCAGCAATCTCCCCTCTCTGATTCTCCCCCTGTTGGTGTGTGGTGTAATTATTAAAAAACACACATCTCATCTGAGTCACATAGAGTTTATATTCGCTCGCACTCGCGTTCAGTCCCGAGGCGCGACGTGAAGAGTGTGCATGTGACAGAAATTGTCAGAGATCGTCTCTCATCATCATTTAATCCGCCTCTTCCTCCTCATCACTTTGCTTACGGGTGGATTCACGGAGATGAAGGGATGAAAGGCAGATTACGTCATGTCGAATTGCATGGAACCTGAAAAAGCATCCAGTCGTTTAATTCATATTTTGTGTTTATTGGGAATTTAATTTAGAGCCTAAAGGTCGCCCAGTCACAGCCTGGGGTTAGAAGATGCTTCTGTTCTGCTGGTTAACCGTGTTAACCAGTTCTTGTCTATTCCATTGAGAGCAGCTGGAGGTAGTTAAGAATATTTGATCAAATCAGCTACAACATCTAGAGATGTGAAATACAATGTTTAGGATTAGCCCCTCTACAGATTTCTTCCATTTCAGATCATCACGTTTATTTGAATGTCATTCAAAAATCGACTGAGTAAATTAAGTGAGGAGTTTTCCAATTGAGAATTTCATTTATTAAGAGAAAGAAAAAGCTACACACACCAACCTGCTCTTTTATGAAAAGCTATAAAATCTGCTTGTTTTTTTAATGATCAAAAGTCCAGCCTCACAGGAACCACCACCGTGTTTCACAAGGAAGACAATGTTCTGCAGATTTGTATTTTTTCCTTCAAAACACGAGCAACGTTTCAGTCGGTCTCATAAGGACATTCTTCCAGTTTGCATAATCTCTCTCCAGGCTGTTGTTGCTATCCTTCAGTCTGACTTGAAGGAGGAGTCAAATCTCTGCGGTCTCGATAGAAATTAAGAGTCTATTGATATTTTAATTTCCAGCTTGGAGAAGCGTCGGCAGTTATTCTGGACTCTCGAGAGACAAATCTTCCTACCTCTGCAAGGCTCTTCCGATTTCTTGTCGATACTCCAATTTGCGACACTTGAAAATGCTGTCGTTATGTATGTCCTTCTCCTGCTTTGTGAGCAATAACTTCTTTTATTTTCTCAAGACTAAATTGATTCCTATGGCTTCTTTGCATGATTCGTTCTCAACTGACTCCTCCTAGTTAATGTGTAAACTAGGAGAAAAATTTCAGGTTGAATTAGTTTTACAAGCTCTTAGCAAGTTAAAAGTTTCATCGCACAACTGCAGCTGGCGCTCAATGAAAAGGTCTATCATTTTTGGGGCTAACAATTTTGGGAAACCCCCCCCCAAAAAACATATAATCCATTTAACAGACCCTGAGATATCTCCTTTCAGGGTCTTGCACACCATTTCATTTGTCTTAATATACAAAACTTGTTTACTTTGCAGCATCATAACCTCGTTATGATTCATCCATTCATTCACCTGAAGGTCGATCACGTTCTGCTCGTGTGGGGAACCATCCCACCCACGCTGTGTGTCAGACAGAAGGCCATCCGCCCCCCTGCCACGCGCTAATAGGCAGGTTAGAGTCGCTGGCTGCAGTGCACACATGCTCACTCAGAGGGTTGTGTTTACTCACTCCATCAGAGTTGTGCAGTTTAATATTAGACCCCAGCCTGCTGCTGCTGCTGGCTCTGACCTGACAGTGTGCGGTGGGGGATGGGCGCGCTCGGGTTGAGCCGGACGTCCCTTCTACCTTCATCTGCTTCTCCATTTTTCTGGTCTCACCCTCCCTCCCCACTTCTTCTCTCCACGCGACTCACTTCCTCCTCGCTGAGGCGCTACACCGTCTCCTGATCTGTCCTTCCAAAGCTGCACTTTTTTTTTGGTTTGTTTTAATCGTCACGTTTAAATAATAATAAATCAGACATGCTTGCTCTTCTGTCTGCCAACAGTACGTTTTACATCCACTTCCTCAACTTCCTGTGAAGCTTTTCTGCTTCTTAGACATAGGCTGTGATATGATATAGAATGCTTTATGAGGAAAAGAAGTAAAATGATTTACTGGCCCATATGATTTTAAAGTGTGTGCTGTTGTAACAGTTGGGTCATTTTATAAGATAAATAGAGGTGAAGTGCTGCTATTAAAGTTTCAGCAATTTCAAATTTATTCTCTGTATTTTTGGTTTTTTTGTGCTATTCTGGTCTTTCAAAGGATAAGAAAACAGTATTTTTTGCCTTTCTGGTTACCCTGTTGTATAATACATTTGTGACTGGCGATCTATGCACATGTAGTATGGCTTAAACCAGAGGTCAACACGATGGAGAAACAGAACCATCAGGAGAGCATCGTATTTTGAAGAGCATCGACCCTGTTGGCAAAAACCTAAAAAAGGCCAGAAATGGTTCAGTTTGTGTGATTGAAGAGGAAGTTACCTCTATCCAGAGTGAGTTTCTGCTACCTTAATTGGATGCCTTGTAAATGGGTAGTGGGCTTTTTGGTGAGTTTGTTTACTGCTCAAAAAGTGTCACATGTGATCGGGATAGAAAAAGGCCTGGAGCATTTAAACTCTTACAACAGAATTCATTTAATTTGCTTGGTGAGTATGGAAAATACTCAACAACTTGTGGATTTTAAGAGTATTTCTCATGAGTTTTATGAATTTCCATTATCTCAGCAATCAAGTCCAACAAATTGCTTCACAATTAGAATTGCATTAGTATTGATACAATTTTTTTTCTTACATTAACAGAGGAGGCAAACCCAAATAATTCACACATAAAATATATTCTTCACAGCTTATACTTATGATATCATTTTAACCAAATGGCTTCAGCATAACGACTTCATCTCATTTTCTTCAATACCGTAGGAAGACAAGCCATGGGAAAAAGCAAAAAATAACACCACAGCGTCGCCTTGCTGTGTGTTTTGGACGCTGAAGCATAAATAATTTGATTCCAAACTAAAGTAGGCTGCTGTATTTGTTTTGGAGAATTTGAAAACTCAACACACACCATCAATACCCCACACGTTTGCTTCAAAACCCACACAGTTGAAACACAAATATCACAACAACAATCCACTTATGACTGTAGCTATCATCTCTCGCTGCACTATAAAAACGCTCCACTCACCTCAGCATCCAGGATGTGTGAAACTGAATTGCTAAATTAGCAGGTAATGCTAATTTAGCATTTGCTGTTAAATTATTGAATTGAGACATGAGCTCAAGATTTTTGTTTTAATTCAAGTGTTGCAGATTATTCATGTAACTTATTTGATACTTTTTTAGAAATGTGGACTGTGGACGCTGACTTTAGCGTTGGACGTCTGTGCTGCGGCTACATGGCTAGCAGTGAGATTCTGTTTCAGGTAGTAGCTTCGCTGACAGGCTAACTCCTTTTACCACAATTCAAACATAATAGTGTTTTCCAGCGTATCATCAGATCAGTTTTTGAAGCAAAAATTAATGAAGAGAAAAAAAGCGGCTTTTGTCATCCATTGGATGTCACTTGTGCGTCACATTCACTGGCGTACAAGAAACGTGAACACAAAAGTTCCGGTGGGAACCTTTGATTGGGGGGAGGGGGAAAATCAAAAAATTTAACTAAAAGGTTAAATGTTTTAATGTTTTTCTTTTTTTGTGTGACAATTTTGAGTTAAAAAGCCCCCCAACACAAATCGTAATGACTTTTCGAAGCAAATGACCTTGCTTTGTAATTTCTGAACTTGCCCTATAATAACTTCATTCACAGCAAAACTCTTGGCATTCAGGCATTTGCAATTACGTTTATGTAAATAAAAAAATAAAAAAATCCAAGACTGGTTGATGCGCTCAGGATTTCCAACATAAATGAAAATTTAAGACACCGCTGTGGGGGTCGGCGGTGGCATAGTATTAAACTGTGCTGTCTGCTGCACATCGATTACAACACAAAACGTGTCATCCAGCAATTCCACGCCATCGATGGAAACTCCTTCCGGCTGAACGGAGTGGGACACATGTTGGTGATGTGAAACAAACCTCAGCTGGGTCTACTTTCTGGGCTGTACAGTTAATACGGGAGGGATTTGTTGGTAAACTGCTTTTATTGTTGAACCTGTCAAGGACATTAGAGAATTCATCCGGAAAGACGCAACAGAATATTGTAAGCGTTGTTCCTCTTTTTTTTTAAGCTCTTATCGATTAATTTAATGTATCTTAGTATTAATATAAGTGATATCCGACATGATTTTGATTGTTTACACTTAATATATGCAGAGCAGATGGACGCGTTTAGTTTTCCCTTTCCACCTGCGTCACTTTAGGTTAATGAACCTCAAGCATAAGCTGCTGGATCAGTGTGTGTACATACATGCTGGTCTGTGACTGTGTGTGTGTGTTTAGGTGTGTGTTTGTTTGTAATACCTTGTGGGGACCATTTTCCCCACACTACGTTGTGGGGACCCACTGCTCCTTGTGGGGACCGAAGCCTGGTGCTCACAAGGGGAAATGCTGTTTTTGGGTGAGGGGTCAGATTTAGGACTAAGGTGTGAATTGAGGTTTGGTTAGGGTTAGTGTTAGGTATGTAATGGATAGGGTTAGGATAAGGGTAGGAGTAAGGTTTAGGCTGTAGAAATGAATGGAAGTCGATGGAAAGTCCCCACAAATATAGCCATGCGAACGTGTGTGTGTGTGTGTGTGTGTGTGTGTGTGTGTGTGTGTGTGTGTTTTTCACCCCAGCCTGGCACACCACGTCAAATCATACACGAGGAAGTGACGAGGGCCCATCAGATGAATTAAAATCTGTTGCTCGTCCTGTTCGCCCCTGCTCCTTCTCTCCGTCCGGGCTTACGCATCCACGCCCCGGCCAATCAGGGGCCAGCAGCCTCCGGGGCTGGTAGCCCCTCTCCCCCTCTTGTCACAGCTGGGAGGGGAAGGGATGGGAGGAGGGGAGGGGGCACAGAAAGGGAGGAGGTAATCCAATGAGACAGAGAGGGGAGAGACAGAGTGAGGGCAACGCCTCACAACACCGGGAATCTCTCTCTCGGTCTCCATCTCTTCCACATATTCCCCTCCCTCTACACCCTCCTCTTTCTACTGCCTATGAAGCGTAAAAAAATCCAAAGGACTCTCATTCCCTATCCAGTCTTCTGTATGTGGCTGAGGAGTGCCTTCCTATTTCAGGCAATTCTTTCATCCATAATTCAGCTTTTTTTCCCCCCTCCTCCTGTCTCCTCCTACGGTTGCATCTTTACCCTCTAAAGGATGACTCGGTGACTGGAATCCGACGTTTTGCCTCTCGATTCTTCGGGAGACAGCCTCTTGTAGAGGAGCTATCTTTGTTCTTGCGCTCACAGCTGCTGAGTGTACAGTAGCTACTAGTGGGGAAATAGGTTAGTGTGCCTATTCAGTGGCAGACAGCAGAGGTGACTGCGTGTTCAGTGCACGGAGGAGATGAAGAGGAAGGGGTTGCCTTTCTGGCGGTAGCACTCTCCAACCTCTGCGGCCGTTCACAGAGAAGGTGACTGGAATGTTCCCGACCTTCAGTGGGAGTGTCAGCGACTGATTTCAGGACAGACAAAGAAGAGAACACCTGAGACCGGACTTTTCTTTTCTCCTTTTTTTATTTTTGATTGTTGTGCACATAACAGGACTTTATCTGCATCCTTCGCCATGGACATCAACCTTCAGTCGCATCGATTTTACTTCCCCCAGATCTACTGCGCTGAACCCGGCGTGCAGCCACAGCTCGCCGAGTTCAAAGTCAGGTAGGCTTCCAAACCGCAAGACGTTGATTTTCTGTGAATGAGAAATCTGTCAGTTATTAACGATAAATCCTCTGCATGCTCCCCTCCTTTTGACTTTTGTCGCTGCCGCTCCGTTTTCATTTCCATGCAGAATTTAGTTAATGCCACATGATTGTTTTTTTGTTTTTTTTCAGTAGATCCTCCAGCTGCTGCTGCAGCATATAAGGCAGGTCTGTGTATGATGAGTGCTGCTGTGAGTGCCTGACTGGCGTTGCAGGGGGATGGGGCTGGATGCTCTTATGTATAAGCTAGCTGTGCAGAAAAGTGTCAGGGCCCTGGAAGAACCAGGGGGCCCATTGATCGCCTGTGAGGGAGCTGACCAAGTTCACAACAGAGAAGCAGATAGTGCTGTGATTGGGTTAGATTTGCCATTAATGGACGTGCAGTCCTCCGTTTTTTTGGGAGCCTGTGAGGCTCTTTTGTCCTCTCTCTCTCTCTTCTTTTGTCAGTCTTTCTCTCCAATTGAAGCTGGAAGTGTTCAGGGCGGCTTGTTGCGTCCGACGACTGCCGTCATGCTCGCAGGGCTGCTGAACACGCATGCTCAGATCAGCAACAGCTTCTCCTCCCTTTGTCTTGTCGGGATGTAATTGTGCCTTTGCGCTCAGGTGTTGCTGAGATGTCATGCTTTGTGATGAAATGGGGAATAAAAACAAACAAAAAAAAAAAACCCGGTGGTTTTATCTAGAGATGCACTCATCAGACCGGTACCGGTTTATGATTTTCTTTGAGGTCTGGCAGAGTGATTGATGACTGATTGATGCTAATTATGAATCCAACAGAAAATGAGGGAATTTCAACATTTATGTGATTTTCATGAAACTTAAAAAAAAAAAAAACTTTGGTACACAATGGTGAATGTGTTTATAGATTGAAAATGGTTAAAGTTGTCAGCTTTGATTAATTTACTGATTGGAAAAAAATATTTTTGTTAGCATTGATCAAAAATCTAGATTTGGGTTGTGACTAGTTACTTTTGGTTGAGTAATTTTTTTGACAAACTGTGCTTGTAGAAGTATTTTACTGCAGTACCTTTTACTTTCACTTAAGTGATTTTATTATGAAGAATAGCTAGTGTTACTTGAGTAAAAATTTCTGGATACTCTACACTCTGTGAGTAACTTCACTGAATGACAAACAAGCTTGTTTTAGCCAAAGATTCACCAGACACACACATCTGTAATTTTTGTTAGTTTCATATTGAAAGAACTTGATTTGGAAAAATGTTTGATTTTGTTATTTTTGTAATTATGTTGTATGAATCATTTTCATTTTGGTCTTTAAAATTCCAAAAAATTCAACATAGGTTTTCATTTCGTTTCATCTGATGATGTCATTTGTTTTGATCTCGAGTCGCCTTTTTACCAAATACTTTTTTACTCTTACTTGAGTAATTTCTTGGACGTCTCGAGTAAAAATACGTCGATGTGGTGCCGCGCTTACAATTGTGTACAATTTTTGGAGAATAATCTTTGCATCGACAGCTTTGGGATGTGCTCGTAATCCAATACGAAATATATTTGACTGTTCCTCTTCTAACAGCTCTGATTAGTGCAGCTTTAAGGGACTCAGCCGGAGTTTTGCCCCACTAAGCAGCTTTAAGGGTGGCCAGGCCTCATTGCTGCTAAAGCAGCTATTTTGGGTTAAAGCGTGTCACTGTCACGGCCTGGCAGAGTTCCCTGATGGCGATGTGGAAGTCACAGCTGGACCAACAGGAGGAGGGAAGCCGTCTGCAAAATGAGTCAGGATTTCAAAAACGGGGAGGGATGTAAGTTTGACGGAAATTCATCTTTCAATACCTAACCATATCTGCGCGATCTCAGGAGAAAAATCGAATATACTCACTACTGAGAACTTATTCGTAACCTTCAGTGGAGTTTTTCAAACGATCACAATGTTGAGCGTGTGACTATATAGACTCAAGGTTTTCACATTTCCTGCTGCGCCTCACACCACACTAACACACTGAGAGTTATTTGTGCGCCTCTGCAGAGATTAAATATCTGATTCCACGAAACTAATTCAAGCAATCGCGTTTAGCAAATCCGATTTACTGCAACGGATACTCATTTGGAGCAGAGACGTTTTAATTCAGGCAGGTTCATCACATTTGTGCTTTATCTGCAAAATACGTGATCTTATTTTTTTGCTATGTAAATATAAAAGGAGTTGGCTAGTTTTATTCAGCAGGACCAATATAATACAGATATATTATTAAGATTCCTGTCACATATTGATATTGTTCAAGTGTTAATTTCTGTTAATTTACTTGATATGGTTTACAGCTAACTAAAACCTGTTAATCCTTATGGATCATCCACACTTTTTCCTTCCACTCAACTTTTCATATCTTGCTTTTATGGAGATGTTTCACACAACTGTCTGATATTATTGAATAAGAGTGCGGCATTGTACCTCAGACTAATGCTATACAATACTTTTTCAACATTTCCTTCTTAAACATGTGTTTCTGGGGTGGTTTTATTTTTTGTGGGATTCAGATTGGTTGCAAATTCTCTAGAGAAACCAAACGAGACGGGGAGGTTGAGAAGAGCAGATGATGGAAATTACATGAGAGCGAGGAGGGGGGAAGAAGAAAACAGGGAGAGGGGGTTGGATGGTGAGAAAACCAAAGCAAAATGAAGAGAAAGAACATCTATAAGGCGCTGCTGCGTTAGACAGACAGAGGTGAAATTAAGGAAGAAAAAAGAGGAAGGTTTGACTGTGAGGGGAAAAAAAATAGACGTTTAAACATGGATCTTGGGCGTGCCATTTGTCTTAGAAAAAGCTTTGGGAGAATGCTGGGAAATTTGCACCAGCCAGGGGCTCCATGGTTACCACAGGATCACCACATGATAGCTTGAAAACCATGACAACCAATCCACTCAACCACAGCTCAACATATGGTGGCTTTAAGTACAAAACGTCACACAGGGACTCTACCAGCAGCAGCGAAGGTGTTGGCTCTGACCGGACTGAGTCACATTAAGTAAAGAAACGTGTCCATTTGAAATTTTATATTGATTAGGTTGAATTTAGTTAAATAAAACTGATTTTTTTTCTGTTCTAGTCTAGCTAATGACTCTGTTTATTTCAAGTTAAATCAATTAAATTTACTCAACAAATTAGCAACATGACACATCTTCAAACAGCTCCAGATATAAATGGAGATATAAAAGCCATTTATTCCAGTTGAATCCATTTATGAAATCAGATTTAAATCCATTTACACACACAAAAGCTCAATCCAACTGTAACACGGTGTTGTATCCAGGTTTCATCTTTTTGTCTAGAAAAGAAGCATCACCATGACTACATTGTGTTACTATCTATAATCATAATTTGCCTTTATGTTCTTCATTATGTTGCTTCCTGCCAAACAGGTCGATTCACTTTAACAGGTTGATATTGTGTTGATAATTAAGTCAAAACGTGTTGAACAAAGAATGGTTGATTTTAGTTCCTTATATGGAAGCCCTATAGGTCCAAATCTGCTGTCTGAAGAAGATCACGATAGTAAATATAAATCTCCATAGGATGTCACCAAACTGGCTCTTGTTTATGCTTTGTTTAGCAAAATAAGAATAGTAATAGTAGTATTTTTATAGTCTTGCTATTATGAGTGGTCTTAAATTTTTAAAAAGATCTGATTTTATGGCTTCTTCCCAGCCAGTCACTGGTTTAGGGCTCGGCAAGCTAGTTTCATCCAGTTTCCTTTGACCGAAAAGCACCTTTTGCTGGTTCTGCTTCAACTAACAAGCACTCTGTAAGGAAAATATGCTGGGTTTCCTTAGGTAGAAGCATTTTTAAGCCACTTTGAGTAATTAATTGAGCTTGTTGTATTGTTTGATAACTGGGATCAATTGGAATGTTTGTATGATTGAATTAAAAAGACTTTTCTTTTGCAAAGTGCTTTGATACGGCATTTTTTGAGAATTGGTGCCATATAAGTAAAACTGAATTGAATTGACCTGTTAAGGTAACTTTTTCTCACTGCTTATTTCAGATTTACTCATAAAAGTCTAAAAAGATTAAGATCATACAATATAGCAGGCTATTTTTTGGGTGAATTTTCAGTTTTGGTTATTTATTTGGCTGCTACTTTCCTGATATACTCCGTCATATTTTGCTCTGGGTTGTTTTCTTCTTGTGCTACATTAGCTTTAGCATAATTGAAACACAACCATAGCACTGTTTCATATATTTGCAGGACAAAACGCCCTCGCTGCTCCTGGGATTTTACCCTCCGCAGCCTCTTCTGCTCATTCACCTTAAAAGCTTTTGACTTAAACTCAAGAGCCGATACAATGCGAGTTACTGCTTGAGGATTATGTTTTAGGATGAGAGCTGGGGCTTTTGGGTTTTTAGGATTCCCAGAGGAGACCGAAATTTCCACATTATCATTCCTCACCCCTCACTGCGCCGTGGTCTGACAGATTAGAGATGAAGGCTGCCGTGAATGTATGTCAAACATAAAGAGAGCACAGCTGGGAATCTGTGAAACATTCTGGGTCATTCGATGCGCTGACCGATGGTTTGTAGCACCAGCAGGAAGGCCGGCACGTCCAACACTGGGGCACTTCTCAGAGCAGGACGGGTCGGAAACCCCTCCTTCAAGGACTGTGTGTTTGCTCCTTGAAGAAAAACACTAAATCTAATTGTCAGAAAATGCTTAGGTGTAATACAGACCATATAGGAACTGTCTGCATTGCGTGTGTGTGCGTGTGTGTGTGTGTGAGAGGCTCCGCAGTAAAAAGTAGCAGTTAAATGGCCTCCCAGAGAGGAGCGAGGCCTCAGGGTGTCTCCCAGCTTTATTTGCTTCCACTCTACATTTGTTCCTCATGTTCTTTCTTAAAAACAATCCAAGTTTACTGCTCCCGCTATGTCCATGGTTGGGACGTTTTCTTCGCTTTTCAAAACTCACGTGCATTCATTTTATCCTCTCTGCTTCAACTAATAAAAAT